AGTTCTATGACAATGTGAATTCCCTCTGGGATCTGAGATGAAGTTTGGCGACAATGAAATATCTCCAATCCGCGGCTAAAATATTATCCTCATCTTCTTCGCGTTCACCGGCTGAAAACGCTGGCGAAAACTCCTGCTTGTTCGTCCACTTCTAGACTTAATGAGTAAAGGAATATAGAATTGGCATCGCTGCACTAGTGACATTCCCACAGGTGCTTCGTCTCTTCCCTCGGTAGCCAACTAATAAGCGACACACTAATAGTTCCAGCTGCGACTTAATTAAATTTCCGCCCATGTCCCCCCCCCCCCCCCCTCAGTGTTGGAAATCTTCCAGAAGTTCTGTTCAACACCACCCCCTGCCCTCCCCGGGTTGAATTTTATTGTATATATCTTCTGTATGTTCTATTGTGTTTGATCTTGCGCAAGGACTTGAGTATTTCGTGCATATCCGTTTTACAATTTTGACTTAATATTATGTAGTAATGCGTGTGTATATGCTGGTTTGCCGTGACTGATACAGTTAGTGCGCTCTCACTTCGAAGAAAATGTCGATCCTCTCTACACTGGCCAGGTTTCATGACACGAGAACCTAGTTCTGGGATGACAGCGACGAGACAGATGTAGACTGTAGACCAGAAACAGTCCTGTTTCCGGTGCACCACTATGCCAGATTCAGCAACTATCCGTCCCAGAAATATTAACAAGCATGGCAGAATGCGATAGTTCCAAAGTCGTGCTATCTAAGAAATATCTGGAAAATTCCTGTAAAAACCAAGACGAATGTGTGCATGTGGTCTTCAACTGCCCATGTCCTTATGATTTCATACTTTACAACAGCACCGGTTCTACATCTTTTTTTTTCAGCGGCGAATTTCTTTGATCGTTATTGGATTGATCATGTGTAAACCGATTAAAAAACAAAGGAGCGTACAGTAACTGGCATAAAACGTTTACTTTTTATAAACCAGTCAACAAGCATTAATGCCGTATATGATGTCTCCACTTCATTATTCAAAAAAAAGTGCACCTTGGGTTTTGGCATCGCACGGATTAAGTTCAAAAACGCAGGAAATTTGAATAATTTTTTTTTCCTTTATTTTTTTAGGTTAGCCTTAATCAATTTACTGTGAACATGCTAATTATATGTTCTGAATAGTTGTATTTTTCCACTTACCACATCAAAATAAAAACCAGATGTTTGGTTACACTATAAATATCTTCCTACAAAGACGTGATTATTAACAGGTTCAATGGCGAATTTATTTTAAACATTTACAGTTACTGAGCTACCAATTTTTAAAGATGGGCTAGACTTTTGGATGAAGTCCTCAGTCACTTAAAATAGATTTGGTCGTTCCTCTAAATGTCCGAGCCTCCAGGTCGGCACCTATGGATTCAAAAAATTATTACAGTATTGGTGAATCTTGTTACTTACTCTATTCTCCGCTTGCTCTGATATTCATGGCTAGTCTTTCATTCGTGATTTGATTCCAAGAATCAGAGGATCAATAATTCTGGATGTATTTGTGAACTGCCTCAAAAGACAGAGCAATGTATTCCAAGGGATGTCACCTTCAGGAACTCACAGAATACAGTTGTCACCCTCAGCTAGCTCTTGTGCGAGGAGAGTTCTAGAGACATCCTCAAGCAGCAGACAAGTTATTTTTTGAAATCCGGATCCAGTATTGATGGTATGAAAAATTCATATACAACCAAAGATTACAATAAATATAGTATTAATGCTATCTATCTGTTTTCTATCTGGGGTTTTTTTTACGGTTACACAAAATATATGGGATTCCGATTAGCATCCGACACTTTAGGTCAGTTGGTGTGAAAGTGAATCTCAACCTGCAAATGTATTTTTTGGGAGAGAGAAAGGGGGGGGGGGGTGAATAGTTCTACCTCTCATTGAGATATATTTTTCATTCTTCAACACACGCACACACAGAAAGACAACAGAGAGCGACAGACAGACAGAGAGAGAAATGATGATAGCGATGAAGTCCAAATGCAGGGTGGCCTGGCTTTGGTAGCTCACATTGACTGGCACTGTGTACATTTAAATCGCCATGAACATCGTCGTCGGTACCAGTATCGATTCTGAAGAATTGATTTAGTCCAGGTTCCTGTTTGGCTAAACCGCAGTATTGACTTAAAACATCCCTAAGGAAATTCCACTTTTCAATGATTCTCATTTCCATACAGTCTGTTTCTCGCTTTAACGTTCTTGAGCCTTTTGTTTGTTATGTTTCATCTCTGATAGTTTCTTTGTTTGTTTTTCCTTTCCTAGTGCCTTTTTATTCCATCTGGCTGCGAGAGTATGCAAAGTTATAATATCTAACTGACATCGCCTGATAAGTTAAGGATCCGTTTCCACACCGTCAGGTGTACTGGGCAAACAGCACTATATTTCAGACACCAACTGGCACTGGGTGGAAAAGGGGGGGGGGGGAAGTTTAAGTAGTTAGCATCACACCGGCCGCATTTACTTTCCCAGACTTTACTTGGTACCCATTTGAGGTTGGGTCGACCTAGAAGCCAAGGTCATTTCTTTTTAAAAGACCTGAATCCATGACCTTCCGATCTGCAGGTGAGCATCTGACCACTAGTAGGTAAGTAAAGCTCTCTTTTTCATGCCTTTGGGAATATAGGGCTACACCTGTATTTTTATAGACCATTCAGCATTTGGTGGGTGAGTGGTCAGCATCACACCGGCGGCCTTTACTTCCTAGGACTGCACCTGGTACCCACTTAAGGCTGGGTTGACCTAGCAGTCAATGCCATTTTTGAAAAAAGTCTAGCTCTGTCAGGACACGAACCCACGACTTTCCGATCCACAGGCGGGCGTCTAGCAGCCAATGCCACGGCAACTCCCTATTTGACGGCTAGTGTATAAACAAACAGCATGCAGAAAACGTCTAATAGATTTTTCTTTCTGAAAACAAACGCTTATATATGAGCCTTTACTAGGCAACCATGTTTAATAGTTAACCAATGCCCCTGAATGGTCCACTCTCAAGCCGCTGTCGTTAGTTGAGTCCCCCACTTCACTATTTATGACTAACTGCTCCGTTCCTGTGGAAATCACACAAAATGCTTTCTCTTTCCTATCTGAAAAACTAGTGAGAAATATATCAGTCACAGCAAAACCTTGAAGCTTGCATATGCAAAGTAAATTCATAAGGCAGCTGCCAGATTTGCCAATACTAACAGTCTCCCTTAAGAACTGCAGCTCACTGTTGATGCAAGCAGTTGATAGTAAAAGCTGACATAGCCTATTTAATACTGCAAAAGTACATGCCATTCCAAATGTAATTAGTCACAAAACCACTGCAGGCACAATATAAAAATATATCCCACATGAAATCAATATCTCAGTGTCGCATCAAGCATTCAACTCAGGAGGTGGGCGACAGTACTTTGAACTCCCAGTCCAGAAATGCAGAAATTGGATAAGCTTAACCTGTTGCTTGAAACCGAACTTTTCAAATTATGTGGGTAGTCTGCTTATTTGCCACATTGGACCAGGCGTTTCCTTTGTCAAAATCAAAGCAGTCTGCTGTTAGATCTAATATGGAATTCTGGAATGATGAGACTTTGTTCTTAAACCCTAATTTGGATATGCTGACTTAGCTGGATGGGGAAATGGTTGGTTGTCTGATTGGCTGGCTGTATGATTAATTTGGTCGTTTGATTGGTTGGACAATTAATTTGATTGTCTCTCTGGTTGGTTGTCTGTTGATTAGTTGACTGCTTTGGTGTTTGAGTGTATGGCTGGCTGAGAGGCATGTCGCCACAAAGATATTTTAAGGGAAAGGCCTATACTAAGGGCCCAAGCTTGTATATTCCAGTTATATTAGGGCACTCTGTGGTTATGGAGTTATCTGCAGTTCAATTTGGTTACTGTATCAATTCTTTGCTTTTTTATGATCCCTGCTAATACATGGGCACTTGGGTTTAAGATGATTCCTTGTTGGCATTTCTGCCTTTCCAGACAAGTGTTATACTGTGCTATGAGGAGGCATGGGAACCCCAGCCCATGTGATAATTAAGGCCCGGGAGGAAGTTCCTCCTTTCCACAGCACAAAGTCTCGGCAGTATTGTAGAGACCATGTTTAGCCCAAAGAAAAGGTAACATCAATATGTTTAGAGCAAAGCACGCTGTAGAAGTTGCTGGATCAGAAAAGCAGTGCTCTGTTTGTCCACCTGTCAGAGCTTCTCTCCTAGACTAGCTGCCAGCCAAAGCTAAGGGAATTAGGTTTATAATAATAAAAATCAAACAAGCAGCATCTTTTCAATCAAATTTCTCAATAAATCCAACAGTATAAGAATAACCTCTTTTTAATTCATAATTACGTTTATAATCAAACAAGCATAGCCTTTTCATCCATATTTGTCTAAGAATAGACACATTTTTAAAATTCACATCACACTAGTTAAAAAAACCGAACTGTTTATCATTCACTCATATTTTTCTCACAGGAATATGTCTCAATCTGGGCAGGTCAAAGGGCAGAGAACAAAGAGAGACAACCTCCAGGTTAGGGGGTTGAAGTGTGGGGCTGACACCCCCACCTTCGTAAAACTTCACTTCGTCATGAAACTGGTATCTAATATCTAGACAGACCTAGAAACACTTGGTGTCACCAATAAGAAAGTGAAGGCCAACCAAAGAGATGAACGGAGGCAGATGATATCTGCAGCAATGAACCTCAAGGATCAGAATGCCGAAGAGCAAGAATATTTCTCAAGGTGGGCAGCGCTGAAGAACTGACAATGCTCACGCTTGGCAATATTTTATTTTTAGTAAGCAGTGAGTACAGAATATGGCAACACTCAACGACAATTGATATAGGAACTCACTCTGAGCTACTGAAAGAGACAGAGCACTTGTGAGAATGTCCCAAGTACAGTTATATCAATTCTTAATTCATTTATACATTTTTAAACTAAACAGACATCTTTGTTACATGCATATTTCTTGAACCTAACATCCTTCATTCAATCTGTTCATCAGGCTTCTTCATTCTCCCTTCTTCCCCAATGGATTCTACTAGAATATCCTGTTTTTGCCGGAAGTAATCCGCATACCAGCGGATGTGTTCGATCTTCTCTGGAACACTGATCCACGGATTTCTGCTCAGCCCCAGCGCAACAAGCTCCATAAATTTCCGAACAGGTCCTTTTTTGGGAAAATCCGAGAGATGACGCTCCAGGAAAATATGTTCATGGAATTTATACTTCCTCTCTTCATCCATATCTGTGGAAGGAACAAATATTAACAATAAATGGAGAGGGGAAGGAGAAAGAGGTGAGGGAGAGGACAAGGTAGAAAGCGATTTAGGAAAGAAAGTGGGATAACAGAGGTAGAGGTTGGGGGAAGAGAAAGAGTGGAGGGATAAAGAGCGAAAAGACAACAAAAAGAGAGACTATGTGTCAGAAAAAGAGAAGACAGTGGAAGAATTAAAAGAGAAAGACAGACAGAAAGGCAGAGAAAGAATGTAGAGAGAGAGAGGAGATAATAACAAAGGGAAACAAAAAGAGAAGAGACATAGAGGGGAGTGAGAGGCAGAGTGGGAGTGTGCACAACATGAATGCAGGCAACTGTACACATAGAAGCCAGAGCGGTGCAGTAGCCTGTTGTTTTAAGTGCCAGCTTAACAGTCCTGTGTCCAAATTCTCCTTGAGGTGGGATTATTTTCATGACCATACAGCTCTAGGGTCAACCCAGCACAAAAATGGACACACACAAAATGTCATGTGAAGTAAAGCAGCTTATGCGCTACTTATCATACCAACTCGCAAGCATAATTTTGGACATGTCAATCTTTTGCCAGCCATCCTGACTCATGTATTTTTGTTCTCCATGTTGGTTCTGGAGCCTCTTTTTGGGGTACAAAGGTAAACAAGAAGTGAACCCTTCCCCTCACCCCATTCCCAAAGGCGACGAATTAGGGGTCTGTTGTTCAAATGGAATGGGTTGGACTGAAATGTGCAAATAGCGTAGTCCAGATTTAAATCACAACAGAACATTCCGCTAACTGACATGTCCCAAGTGAGTGCAGAAGAAATGCATTTCTGTTAAACCGATTAATCAATCCACTATCTCAAATCACAGAAGCTACAAGATATTTCAGAGAATCGAACCCTTCATTTAGACTAACAGGCACAGTGCTGCACGGTTAATACCATAAAAGGTTAAACCTTGGTTATGGCCCAGGAGAGAAACGATGGTTGGGTGTGAGGAGAGTTACCCAACTTCGTAAAATAACTCGGCTACAAACACTCACAAAAAGGGAAACTGTTCTGGTAAACAAACCGGTCAAGGAGTGCTAGGTGTACAAAAAGCATTATCGATATTCAAAGAATTGCAAGGTTACAACTAAATGTGCAAATCCACCACGAGTCCTGTATTTCTTCTTCTTCTTGTTATTTTTGTTCATGTTCACCAGCTGTAAAGTCTAGCAGAAAGTTCTGGTGGTTCCTTCACTTTTGGACTTTAGTCCTGTTACAGAACTTGAGTTTTGCATGCACATACATTTTACAGATTCGGGCTTATTTGCATGAAGACTGGGTTCCTTGCCCCTTAGGCAGATGCACTCCTAATTTGAAGGAAAAACCTAAAAGCTGGCTTTTACAACAGGCTAAATTTAACAATATTGATCCTTCCAGGATTAAGAAAACCAAAACTATGGACAAAATGATCTTCTAATGAGTAACTGCTGGTCTGATCACAGGAGCAAGATTTAATTGCAGTGACTGAGATATCATTTTCACCTTGGTGATCAAAACTGTTTAAATAGAGGGAGACAGGTTTGAGAGCCTTATTGCGAATATCAGCAAGATATTTACAAGATGCTTGCTAGGGAGGCAATGGGTCTGGGTTTTTCCCACTCCACGGAAAAGCCCCAGAACCACATGGAGACAATGTTGTATTATTTATAAACAGCACAAAATGAGGATGATCATAACAAGACACTTTGGCACAGCAAACATGATGATGCAACAAGGCGGCAAGGAAAGATACGTGAAAATGGAGACAAACACACAGATTACAGTAAGTACCTGCTTCGTTATCAATGGGAAACTTCCACAGCTTTCCTTCTTTTGTCCACTGTATCATTTCTTCAAAGGCATTCCTGGGCACGGCTCCAAGAGCTTTTCTGAGTTGTTCAGCATCCATTTTTGCCCACAAGTCTTCTGACTCACCGGACTCTAACTGTTGCTGACCTAAAGAATGAGTAAAATGTGATAAGACATCATTCTGTTTGGAACAATTATTTTATAGGAAAAGTGGGGGAGAGTGTGATGATGACATCTACTTCCAGCAGATCTGGTTTGTCTCGTGTTGTTGAATCTCTGGATTTTCATTAAAAGAAAAACAAGGATGGTATGCATTTCCCTGATCCTGGGATTTTCCTCTTCTTGTGTTCACCAGCTGTAAAGTTCTGCTTACTTCTGGACTTTAGTCTTGTTTCAGAACTTGAGTTTTGCATGCACATCTGATCTACACATCTGGCTTATTTGTATGCAGAATACTTGTTCCTCACTGAGCGCTCTGACTTCAACAACAAAATACACTCCCCTGAACCTGGGATTTTCCTCTTTTTGTGTTCACCAGCTGTAAAGTTCTGGCTGTTTGTCTACTTCTCGACTTTAGTTTTGCTCCAAAATTTGAGTTTTGCATGCACATCTGATCTACACATCTGGCTTATTTGTTTGCAAACTACTTGTTCCTCACTGAGCGCTCTGACTTCAACAACAAAATAAATGATTAGTCTTATTTTACGACAAGACTGTTAGGGGGGCAGTAGGTCAATTTCTTTTTCTCCTAAAATAATGAGGCCATAGAACCCACTTGAAGAATCCTGGGGTATGATGTGTAACCTCTCTGTTGTAATTTACAACTAGGCTGTGATATCTGCGCCTTTTAACCTAACACATCACATTTCAGCACTCAGTGACCAGGTGTAAACAATTCTATCTAATTCATGATAACATCCACATACAATAAACATTCGTAAAAGACAGGCTAATGGAAATCATACACTCAATATTCAAACCAGCAGGCTGGTTAAAATCATACACTCAACATTCCCACAAGCAGGTTGGCTGAAATGATAGACTTGACATTCATACAGGCTTTTTTGATTAAAATCACATACACTCTACTGCAATATAAAAAATATGCATCTTTTTACTATTCTGTTCCTACAAGGCAGCTGTTTGAGTTTAAGCCCCAGTGACGGCTCAAGGTGGCATTGTGGGGCTCCAGTTTCTTTTGTGCATGCGTACAAAGGCCAAACAGGCTGTGCAACATTTCTGAAATAAACTGCTGCAGTTCCGCACTGCCTGCCTACAAGCCACAAACTATAAGCCTTTCATTTACACACACAAAAAAACTGGGATCTCTGGCACTTGTAAACTAAATATGAACTCTAAATCTTTAAAATACGAAGCATACGACCCGGCCACTGCCAGGAGATTCACCCTCATTCACACAGTTGAGCTGAGACAGTATGCTATGTGCTATTTGTAAATTTCAGAATACAAAGCATACGACCCGGCCACTGCCAGAGATTCGCCCTCATTCACACACATGACCTGGGTCAGTATGTTGTGTGCTAATTTATGGGCAAAACAAACTAGTCAGCAGTAACAGAAATAAAACAAAAAAACCTTGCTTCTGCAATTTCTTTGCATCAAATATTCCAAGTCTAGGCATCTGATACAGCTCGTAGCTTTCAACTCGACTGAAAAAACACAAGGAAGTCAGGGTTTACGTAAAACATGTAATTAATCTATGTGCTACTACAATGTTACTTTCAAAAAGCAGTAAGTAGGTAAGTAAATTTTACCCAAATCAGGCATCACACAGAGCGATAAACACCTGGTGACACAAAGTGCCACTATGTGGGTGAGGATCACCCGTGGAGAGGTCCCAGAAACCGCGTTCAACCATCATGCTATAATGTGGCTCTCGGCAAAAGCCGGGGTGGGGCTTCAAAATAACAAAAAATTGCATCCCATATGGCGGTAATCTGGGTTTGAAATGGTTCTTTCAAATAGCTATTTCTACTTTCTGTAAGCTGCAAGCATATTTTTGCACAAATCCTTCCTGTATTTTGTGTGTTTATTAAGTGTTAACTCCTACCAGACAGTGACCAATATACAACTTAACTCTTCATTTGCCACTGTGACTACAATGTTTAATTTAACAGTCACATTGGTGGCTCACCTAATTGTGTATTTTTTTTTTTTTTTATTTATTAGGACAATCACTGAAAATAAACTTTTGCTAGAGTCAGATTCTTTTGAATATTTTTCCTATTACTTTCTTTAAATGGGTAATAGAAAAAAAATATCTATATGTGTATGAAACAATACATTTGTCCATTTCATACACTGTTAAATACCACTCTTTGAAGGACGAATGCATAAGAAGTTTCTCAGACACAAAGTTGCCTATAAGTCAGCTGTCTTCTACAGTATGCTCAGATCTTAAAAATGTTAGTATTTTTTTTCTTCTTGATTCACGATATTTTGAGAACTGTTAATGTGAAAAACAGTCATTTGGCAAGACAAAACATGTGAATGTTCTTACCCTTCATTGGAGGTTCTTCTCCTTCAAAAAAAGCTGAATGTAGGTAAAAACAAACAAAAAATTAATTTACGTCATATCACATAATAATGGATCAAAGTTTTACAAAAAGCAAACATGTAAAACACATGGCTGTCAGCTAAAGCAATCAAATATACAATGAGGATTACTATTAACATAAGTTCTCTCAACATGTGCCCTATCCACAGCCAGCACATCATGACCAATTAGAATTTGTACAGGAATCTTTATAGACTCTACATCAATTATTCTATCATACAATGTAGATTTTTATGTTCTGTGCATGCATGAATTGACAAATGCTTGTGCTAACCTTATTTTATTTTACTGATACTACTGGAATTTTCTTGCCCCATTTCATACACCGTTCTAACCTTCCAGGTGCCAATTCTTAATAGACAGAATAAGAGTCGGCTATTCAGACAGTTTTCTTCACATTAAATCCTACTCGATCTAGTTGAAGATCTTCCTTTCATCTTGTCCTCGATCTAGTTAAAGATCTTCCTTTCATCTTGTCCTCGATCTAGTTGAAGATCTTCCTTTCATCTTGTCCTCGATCTAGTTGAAGATCTTCCTTTCATCTTGTCTGGTTGAATTTTTTTCTCCTTTTTTTTCTCCTGTAGACTGGTTGGATTTGGCAACTAAGAATTTCGACTGGATAAAAAATAGTCTCATGCCAACGTTTCTTAATCACCTTTTACAAAAAAAGTACAAACTGCACTGTAATCTACTTTGCATCCCCAGCAAGTTTACCACAATAAAACCCTACTATTTAATTAAACAACCAGATATTCTTCTTTGTCTGAACATTCATCGACTGTAAACTCGGTCAGAAAGTTCTGGTTCTGTCTACTTCTGAACTTTGGTCCTGTTCCAGAATGTACTGGTGTTCTGCGTGCACATCCATTTTACAGACTCAATCTGTATGCAGACTGTCAGTCCCTCACCTCTCAGGCCAATGCACTCTGACTTCGAAGGAAAACACCATATATGAGTTCCCAATCACATCATGCTTGTTAAGGGGAAGTGGATCTATTCTTGTTCCCCCCAAATGGAAGCTAGGTTAGTTGCGTCTCCTTTACAGGACGTTGCAGAACCAACACCAACAGCCCCTGGCTGTGGTGTGGTTTTTCTAGGCAAATTTACGTCCAGTAGTTTGAAAATGAAAGCTACAAAGGGAAATAAAACAGATATAAACACCTTGTTTATATAGCTAAGTAACAATCAAGCAACAGGGCTCAGAAACTTACCAGACATATTTGGGTTCAGCAATGGTCAGTATCAGCAAGTGTAGTACACACAGAGCAGGTTCACAGACCATGAAACAAACCCAACATAAGTTCATTTGAAACAAGGCAACAGAAACGTTTACAACACTGTCAAATAATGACATTACAAACTCATTCTTCTTCTTCTGCTTTTGTCCTTAAAAAAGCGGTAGGCACATTGTATTGTGGTTTACAGCTAGGCTGCAATGCCTGTGATTTTTGGTCCAAAACATTGGATTTCAGCCAACCCTTAATACATCCTCTTTGAAAGCATGCTCATTAGGGTGGAGTCTCAGCCATATGTATTCTGACTTCAAAGGAACTGACCATAATTAGTAGACTTTTATGGTATGTTTGTTAGGGAGGAAGTGAGTCTGATTTTTGTTCTCTCCCCAAAATAAGGCCCTGGAACCCCCACAGAGATGCAGATGGTAGTAAACAGAGAACTTGTTTTCCAAGCCAAAAGCAAGACTGCATATATGGTGTAAGTCTCATATTTTTAAAACAATCAGCACTTGAGTGATGCGGTGGTCCTAAACATTCCATCTGTTAGAATCCTGTTCACGGCAGAGACTTTTTCCGGTGATCCAGACTAAAATGGGTACATGGAAGTTTATTGAGAAGTTAAAGTGTGTTGGTTTATTCAAACCTAAGACTGGTTTCTTGTGTCATTCAGCCCCAAAAACTGACTCATCACTACCAGGTGAAGAATTATCCTCGATAGTCCACTTCTGCTGTCAAGTATCCCGTGGAGGAACAGATGGTGGCCTAACATTCGATGAGTGGTTTGGGCTACAGTGAATGTACAATATATTTAACAACATTAATCCATCTACTTGGACGTCCTCTTGCTAACTCATCAGATATTCTTAGATGTTATCACTGTGTTGGTAATTGGTATTGCAGTATTCTAATGGTGAAGAATAATTCATCAACATCATCATCAGTTTCCACTTCTGCCGTTAAGCGTTGTGGGGAGAAATAGTTTGTGATCCCCTGCTTGGTGGGCCGCATTGGCTACTGTCATTCTGTGTCGATGTAGAAGCTCTTTAATGTCATCAGTCCATCTTCTCCTAGGGTGGACTTTTAACTTGACTTCATATTCTATAATTTGTAGCATTTGCATTGGCAGTTGTTTTGGCTGCATTCTTACTAAATGACTAAACCATTTGATCATCTGCTTCTCAATGAAATGGCTGCATGGTGTTGTTCCTACAGTCTGTCTGATAATATGATTCCTAACTTTGTCTCGGATGGTTAAGTTGGTGGCTTTTCTCAGGTATCTAATTTCAC